CAGGGAAGGTATAGAGCTTGCACTTGCCAGAACGTTTTTCTGCTCACAGATACTGATCAGTGCAAACTTATCCTGTTTAAGCTCAGGCTTTTTTTCTTAATACAAAAGTTTTTAGTTTAATTAAACCTCAAGCCCCCATTCCTGGTGCCTGCTGGTGTTTTGGATCTGAAAGGAGCTTTAGGCTGCATGCCACTACAAAGAGGCAGATTCATACAATGGAGTCCTTCCAAAAGTCCTCCTTCACTCACACGCACACACGCGCACATGCACACACACACACACTGGCTCACACTCCATCAAACAGTCACACTGTCATGGGCACATGCTTAATTATTCAGCCGCTAATTATCTCGTACACTCAGTTATGTAACTGAGGTTTGCTTTTGTGAGCGCAGGGAGGAAGAGACTTCTGAGGAGAACTTGCCGGAAAAGCAGAGTTTTTTTAAAGAGAATTTCATCTGGCCCCTCTGCTGATGCAACTTCTCTGAAAATGTGAAAATACTGAATATCTTTATCCAGGGAAGATGCAGAGATGGTGAGGCACACATGTAACCACACAGACATTTCTGTATGTCTTCATCTCTGTAAATGGATGCTGGTTTTTCATGTGCTTGATGTACAATTGCACTAAGGAATTTAGAGGAGGACATTAATGAAACATGTAGGGCAAGGATGACAGGTCAGCAAAAACTGCTATGGCAAAAAAAATATAAAGAGAGGAGACTTTGAATAAATTCAATACAACTTGCTGGAAGGGCGGGACCTGGGCCCAATATCAACCTATTTAAACTTGGTCCAGTTCTGGGAAAAGGGGCGTGTCCAATACATTTCTTTTTACATTGTGGGATTTTTTTGGTGTTTTGAAATGTTTACAAATTTTCCACTGAATAGTGGTTGAATCTATATGGAAAAGATTCTTCTACAATGAAGATGATGATGTCATGATCTGGATTGTTTTATTGGTTTAAGGGGGCTGTTGGGATTATAGAGGAAGCTGTGTGCTGTGCTGAGTGCGAGTTCTAGTTTCCCTCATGTTTTTCTGTGAAAGAGACTTTTCTTGTTTTATTGCTCTCTACTTCTCTATATTTTATTTTGACCTCTTTTGTTCTCCTTCTCCCCACTCTAATTTATATTACCTCTCTCCTCCAGTATCTTATCTTCCTCCGTTCTCTCCACCAACTTTTCTCTCCGTCCACTTCTCGTGCCCTGAATCTTCACTGTCAAAGAATCAGAGATGTATCTCCATTTAAAAAAAACTCATCAGGCCCCCTCCCTTCTCAGAGCAGAGTCCTTACAGGTCAAACAAATTAAAGACTTTGATTGGGTGTACATGCTCACAAATGCTTGTCATATAAACATTGCCTCTAATTAATCAGATAACAGTAGACCATAACTTGGGGGGCAGATAACATGAGATAATTGGTTAAAACAAGCCTCAGCGTGACGCTGTCTACTTTCATCATCGTCCTGGTGCGCCCACACGAGCAGAGGCACACGTGCAGGCTTCTCTAGATCTGACGCTGCGACTCACCGTCACATGTACACGGCCATGCACAAAACTGCATCCACATTAGTGCAAACATTTCAGAACAAGAAAATTATTTTTCCATTTTTATCGAAAGCAGTTTACACTCCCTGAATCTTTGTCTGGTTTTTGTTTTGACTCATAACAAACCACATGCACACATTCATCAGGAGAATAGTCTTACATGCAGCCACGTGATTAATGTGCATGTATTTTAAGAATCTTGACAGACGAACACAGGACCCACTTCAGCTCTTCTCATTTGCTGACATTTACAGTAGATGCAGATGAACTTTGTGAAGCTCCACCGTGGTGTCTGTTTACCTCGGGCTAACCCGGAGTCACCTATCACATGTGCAGGGTGGTCGACGGGGTGTTGTTGCTTGAGCACATGTGACCGTCACCTTTAATCTGTGCTGGCTGCACTTCCCTATCCTTAATGTGTCAAAACCAATCTGGGATGTGAATGAATGTCCCGCGTGCCTCTGACATCATGGAGTTTCCACTGCTGCGCTCGGCTCAGCTCAGAGATAGCAGCTTTGATATTTTACACCGCTGGCTCACTGGCAGGGGTTCCCCACCCACCACCCCTCCTGACCATAGATGGACTCCAGAGAGTCACTGTTTGTGCTGCGGTTAGGTCAGTGTGACAGCTCAAAGGTCAAATATCAACTGGTTCACGTTGAGGAAGAGTGAAAGAGTTTGGATCTAAGCTAATGAAATGACTATTAAAAAAACAACTTAAAGCTTACATGAGATTTTTGCTGCAGGATGAGTTAAAGCTGTTCAAATTAGGATCTGATAGCATGATATTTAACAAAGTATAAATGGAAGTGCAGATTTTCAGTGGTATAGCAGCACCTATTACTGTAGATCAACCAGTGCACTATACCCTAACATTATCCCGTTCACTTGGGTTATACATTAATGGAGGCGAGCAACGAAAAGTGTCATGCTCTGTGGAAAATGACAGAAATAGCATTCTGTTAAATTCATGGCACAGGCATGATGGATTGAATTAAAACTATCCTCCTCTTTTTTACTGCAGAAGCTTTTTTTTTAAAAAGTTTTTTTAACAGTAATACTAAGGAATTTAACCATCTTTAACTGTAGAAGCCATTACCACTTCATGTAAGCCTTTTCATTTATGAGCAGCAGAGGAACGCTGTGAGTTTTCTTCTCCTACAGAGCATCATCATCGCTGTGAGAGTCACATGTTCAGCTTTCTCTTGAATGCCTTGGAATCAGACATGCAACCTGATACTATTGCTGGACATAGCATCTCCAGGAGTCTGCAGGAAAGAAGCACCTCCATGTTTGGACAACATTCCTCTCTGACCTTACTGGAGGTCCACTTCTTCTCCTGTTTGTGCAGAATTTCCTGCATAAAAGGACAAACAGGGCAAACATGACTGGCACTCAGTTTACTAAGGTCTCTAGCAGATGATGGATGGTCACCACACATCACCGCAGTTTGTTTTTTTTGGAGACTTGTTATGAGTGGTATGATATGTTTTAAGACCAGGACTCAAATTTTCCATCACACACTCACACAGGCAGCAGAATGAGGTGATATGACACCTCTAACTTTAGTGCGCCTCTCTCTCTCTGCCGCTCTGGATAATCCTGTTAGGATGCGTTCTCTAGCGATCGGTCTCCAGACTGGCCTGAATAAGCCTTTGTCACAAAACACACACTATAATTTCACTGTGGGGTCCACCCGCACACAAACACACTGATATATGTGCAGTACCCCTCTTGTTTGTGTATAAAGGTCAGAGGTTGTGGGGGGGCACCAGCTGATGTCACATACCCAAAATGAGAGTGGTGTCCTTGATGACAGCCTGGCAACTATAATTGTCGTGACAACCCCTAGGAATAAGCCGTCATGTGACACCCCTTCCTCCGCGCCGAGCGCATGGAAAAAAGAAACACACTAACACACATAGCTGTGTCAGCGGGGAGAATCCTTTGGAAACAATGTCTTGCGTGCTTTGGGGATCTGAGAGGGGAGTGCAGGATTTAACTCACTCTGCAGAGCACCAAATGTGGGCATGAGACAAGGCCGCAGAGCCTGGTTTTGACCCCGAACTGCAAGGGGGTTCTGAAATGATTGGCTTTGTTTTCATGACAGGTGATGCCAACTTTTTTTCTGGCTCTTTTCAGTGTTCCTGTGACAAAGCTGTTGTTTTTTTCTTGCGCACGCAAAGTACGGCATCTAAAATAACCTGTCGAGCCTGTGTAATTGAACTCCGGTGCATTCTCTCATTTTCCAGCCATCAGTGCTGACATATTTCCCTTTCTTCTTTTGAAGCCAACGTCACAGGGGGAGCCATCGGGGCACCCGGCCCTCTGATGTCTAAAAACAAAATGCTCCGGTGGAGTATTTGTGGCACAGGATGCTCTTGGTGTGCAATGTCTTAATGCATCTGTGGAGTGGAGTATATTTTATCTCTTTGTCACTTTAATTCTGTTTTCAGTTTTTATCTCACAACTGCTGCCTCTCTGTCGCCCGGATATGTCTATACGTGTGAATTAATGCCTGCTATTGTGCAACATGATGTTTCTGCATGTACGGCACCGACACACACATCCCGAGAAGTTACAAATGTGTTGCTGAGTGTGTGAGCCTGGTAATTAGTAGAAGCAGTAAGGTGATAACAAGCGCCAGCCACACGTTCGAAACAGAGGTGTCAAAGCCAGCATGCTGCCGGAAGTCACAGCCCCTACTATCACCCATCGCCCTCCTTTCCCAGTCGGGTACACACACACACACACACATACACATACACAACATGAGAGTTTTGTAGGCCAATGCACAAGAAATCCAACTTCGCTAAATCAGAATATACACATTGAGTTAGTGTATGTGCCTCCCCCATATAGTCTTCCTCTCACTCCTATTCCTTTTTCTTCTTCCCCGTCTTCTCCACCCACTCCTCCTCCTCCTCCTACTTGATCTATGAGTCATATGATCCAAAAGGCGAGATGGAGCGTTCGGTAGATTATTTTCATCTTTTCTTGCTGCATGAGAGGTTATCATCACTTCTCTTCATCCCCCCTTTTTGTTTCTCTGCTTGGCTTTCATCCATCTGTCGCCCGCAGAGGAGCGACAAGTTGGAATCTTGTTGCTAGTGAATGATTTGTTTGGAGTCTTCACGTTAGAATAAGCTGGAGACGTGCGTGTGCGCATGTGTGTGTGTGTCATCAACCGCAGTAGGCGGTCCCAGACATAGCAATAGCTGTTGTCATGATAGCAGCTCTCTGTGTAATCACATGTTGTTGCTCTATTGATCACACCATCGTTTACTCATTCTGAAAAACATATTGGGGATTTGAGTCATCAGAGAAATATTGTCTTGATTCCCCCCCTCTCTTTATTCTTCCTCTCCTCATTACCCTCCTATGTTTTCTCCTCCCCCTACGTGTCTGGCGGTCACCTTCTCTCTCGTTTATTTTTGTTTTTTTTCTTCAGGTTGCGGAAACAGCAGCATGAGTGGGGAAATGTACACCGCTGGATACCGCTCCATCACCAACATAGATTACTCCTCGGTGTGCATCAGCACAATGGCCGCCAGGTACAGCGACTGCCCCGGTATGACCTGGCGTGAGATGGACATGCGCCAGCTCTGCTTCCCCGGCACATCCTTCGATGTCATCCTCGAGAAGGCCACACTAGACGCCATCATGGTGGACGAGAAGTCACCTTGGGATGTGTCCCCTCAGACGGCCTGTTGTGTTCACCAAGTACTCTCAGAGGTATTGATGAAAAAAAATCTGTGAACCCTCATTAGGGTTGGATATTTCACCTTTGTTTGTGTGGTGTGTGTGTGTGTGTGCACTGAAAACTCTGACTCTTTTTTTCCTGTCATAGCTGAATACACAGGAACACATATATAAGACCTTTTCAATCGTTCCACATTTTCTTTTGATACTAGGAACAAAGCACAGTCAACAAAAAACTATGCAATCTTTTCTACAAATGGCTTAAAAAGACTTATGAGTCATTTCCGCTGCCTTTACATATGATAAGAGATTTGTTTCTTCTTCGTCTCTCTGGAACCTGGCTACACCGCTGTAGCGGTAGTGGGCTTTCAGAAGACGTGCACAAATACAGACAAAATGAACGCAGAGTACTGACAGATCACTCGTCCGTATATGCATACACATCCAACACTGAGCATAAATGAGCCTTTACATTTCCCACCCTCCAAACCAGAATCCACAGGATCAGATGTGCATAATGTAGATGTTTTGTTATACCTGAACATCTAACATCAAAACAACAGGAAATAGCTGCATGCAACAGATTTTCCTGTCTTGGAAATCCACACTGTGCTCACCTCAGACGACCTCTTTAAAGTTCAAGATCTTAAAACACTCCCTTGTGACCAGGCAGACATATTATAATTAGTAAAGGCACATGCTGACAAACAAAAATGTTTTTTTTTTATATTAATGGTGAGAAATGTTGTTTCCTTCACTTAAGTAAACCATTATTAACAAAAACTAATAATTCTCAGTCACTGTAGCAGTTTGTTGTTCATCTGCTCGCTCCTCCACTTAAAGCTTGACGTATCAATGTTTTTGTTCACATGGCTACACAAGCTCTCGAGTCCAGTCATTTTCACACGTGATTTTGTTATGGACGCAAAGAAAACAAGAACCCATTCTGAACCTGCGATTAATTTACTGTTTTATATTAATGAACTGGTTTAACCTCTTTTTGGTTGAAGAAACGCCTCCAATTTGTTTGAAGCCCCTGCAGTGAACTCATATTGGTCACTATATAGCTCCAGATAAGATAAGTTAAACTTCATTGATCCCACACGAGGGAATTTCTCTGACTATCACAAAAACAATGTAGACGAGAGTGCATGTGACAGTATAAATAGGATAAAAATAGATAATAAAAAGAAAAATACATAGAATATTTACATGATATACACCATTCACTACATATGGGAGTATTCTTGTGGTCGAGTAAAGTGGCACAGGATGATTGCATGGGGATGTATACTGTATTCATAAATTATGTATAAGGTGATACTGAAGTAAATAAATAGATAAATATAAATATGTATAAGTAACAAGAAACATCCAGCAAGTTCCTAAACCTGAGTCACTCACAGGAGTTTGAAGATAATATTCTTTTCAGTTTCAGGTATTTTTCGTCCATAACAAAAGGCAGACTTGAAATATATTCCATAGACTGGTCCAGTTTTATTGATCCTCTCACTATTATGCAAACCACAAGAGTGTCTTGCCAACTGTGATGAATGAACGCTCTCCCGCAGCAGGAGTTTATTTGTAAGCGACTTTGTGACAGTGAAGTCGGTAATAGAGCCACTTTTCATTTTCACTCCATCTCCACAAACCCATCAAATGACTCGCATAACGTCAAGTGCCCTTCAACTGCGGCGAGCTGCGGCTATACCCACCACTGTCAGTGTGACAATAATAATGTTTTGGCCATTAGCCACGCTTGACCTCAACACAATAAGACAAGAGAACACCACCATCAAGTAAAGTAGGTGACTCCCCGAGCTCTGAGTGGGGGCAGAAAATTCCTCCTGATGTGCTCACTGCGGCATTTTGTGGCTCCCCTAGATTAATTCAAAGTTTAGTCCGTATTTACAGGTAGAGTTTGGGCTCAATACACAGGGTGAATATATAATCATAGTGAATGCATTGGAGGGAAAAGGTCAGAGTGTGTGAATCATTTTAATGGATGCAGCTCGAGAGGACAAAGTACAACTGATATGAATGCAAATTTATACTGAACAGATACCAGGAACTGCAAAATTACACAAATACAAATATAATGCTGCTTTTCGGGTGGTTTTTTTTCCATTAAAACGTTGCCGTGAGTCGGCTACCAGCATAGTGTTACACCGATGATTTGGATTCAGCATTAAGTAAAGTGGGCAGGGGTTGGTTAGCTTGATTGCGTTCGACAAGCTGAAAATTATACAGCATTTTATCATCACAGTCTTTTGTGTGCTTGTGCTCACTGCACCTTCCTCTTCCATTTGTATTACTCCCCCTGTTCATGTATTCTAACTGAAATCAGTACCTCCTATATGAGCCCCTCAAAGTGGCTGCACGCTCCAGCACCGTGTCATTTTGTGCTTTGTAGCCTGAATTACATACTAGTTTGAATTTATTTGATCTTGATTTTTTTTCCCTCAACTAAAGCAGCTGTGGTGCAGTCATCTACATTATTTCCAGATTCTCTGTCTGTCTATATGTGGTTCCCATATCTCAAGAACTGTTATCAGCTTCACATTTGGCATGTATATTTTTAAGAAAGTCTAAGAAAGTGCAGTATCGAATTTGGTATGATTTTATAAACTATTAATAAACAGGCATTGGTGCAGCTTCACAGTTCTCTGAACTGAGTCCTGCAGCTCTTCTTTACTTGCTGTGGCTCAATTACTGCAGGTCACTTAAAGGATTTAAGGATTTTTGTTTGTCATACGCTCAGAGGTAAACATCATGTGAAATGTGTGGGGTGCCCTGTTTCTGTAAAGAGTTTCCAAGGGATTGACAATAAAAAACAGTAAATAGATAAATAAGATTAAAGAAAAGAAATAAGGGATTATTACAGTCGTGGATGATATTTACAGTTAAGATTGTTAAAGTGAATTGAAGTGTGTGTGTGTGTGTGTGTGTGTGTGTGTGTGTGTGTGTGTGTGTGTGTGTGTGTGTGTGTGTGTGTGTGTGTGAGTGAGTGAGAGGTTCCGGACAGCCTGAGGGTAGAAACCCTTCTTCAGAGTAAACAGCCCATTGTAAACAAGCAGGTTTAGAACAGGCAGCGTATTATTGATAGGCAAAATAGACGTCCCTGATTTAAATGATGCTTTCCATGTATTTGCTGTTTAATTCCTGACAGAAGATGATGCAAGAAGCAAGTATTTCAATATTTTTTTTACATCTCTCCAAATCAACTCAGGTTTTAAAATGCTCGACTGAAGAAGTAAACAAAGGCTGATACTCTGCTGCATGTGCGCCAAGTGCTTAGAGTCAGTCTGAAAATAGACTCACGCACACACTCACTTGAGCTAAAAGCAGACAGTGGTCCTGTGTGTTTTCCTCCAACAGAAGAAAGTATTAGAGAAGGATCAGTAAGTGTGTTTGAGGGACAGATGGGAGGATTTGACTTCCCTTCAGAAGGAGTGAAGCTGAACGATGCAGACCATTTCAAAAGCCATTACAGAGAAAGAGTCGAGTTCCCTTCTCACTCGACATCACCTGCTTCCCTTCACACCTTCTCTTCCCACTTCTGCCTCTCACTCCGTTTTCCTCTCATTTCCACTTTGTTTTCTCTCAACTGCTCCTTGCTCAGGGCTGTGAGCAGACGCTAATGTGTGATTGTGTTCGCATTGTCTCTGTGCTGCACTCTGAGTGTTGTGCATCTTTATGTGTGCAGAATGCAGATAAAACGTGTGTGTGTGTAGTTGCAGAGAAGTCGATAGTCCTCTGCGCTGGTGTATTTTTGCTCTCGCTGTGGCTGATATGGGTAGAGCAGTCACGATTCTTGTTCGAATATGTGTGTTTTTCAGGAATGTGGGAGGCGGGTTCAGAGCCTGCTTTCATTCTTACAAGAAAACATTTTCAAAAAATTAAAAAATGGGACACAGAGAGAAAAAGGTAAGCAGGAAAAAGAGCGAAACAGAAAAATGGCCTGAAAGAAGGAGAGGGTGAAGAGAACGAAGAAGATCCCTGAAGAAGTGTTTGATAAATTCACATGCAGCGAAGGAGGGACTGAATAGGGGGAAAGAAAGGAACAGCAGCAAAGGAGAACGAGGGGAAAAAAGAGAAAGAGTGGGAGACAGAAACCAAGACTGACAGAAAGCTAATGAGCAGTGCAACAGTGTGCGACCGATGGAAAAGAAGGCAGAGGAAGAGAGTAAGAGAAGGAGGGAGCGAGGAGGTGTGGGGAAAAAAATATGGAGGGTACTTTGATCTAAAATCTGCTTAGAGAGCGTTTACGAACAAAAAAAACAAACTCGTGGGTGACAATCGAGAAACTTCTCATCAGTAGACTTCATGTCGGCTTGGCGACAAACACATCCATGTTTAAATATGTCAAAATAATAATGTACAAAGGTAGAAACCTACTTGAATGCACCAGAAAATGCAGCAAAAGTCCCAAGGGTTAAAAATCACATGTCCTCACAGTACAGGTGGGTTTATATGAGACACACACGCTGTTCCTCAAGTCCTGGTACAGTCAGTGTAACAGTACAGTTTTCGTTGCTGACACACACACACACACACACACACACAAACACACAAACAAACTCTCACAGCGGGGGGTGATGGGGCCATGGTGCACTAAGGTGTGAAATTTATTTCACAGCCTGACATGCTCTGTGAATCACTCTTACTGTTGCTATGGCGACTCTTTCATTGGCTATCAACTCATACTAACACTTTTAATTGCTAACCTTTAGCCCTGTTTAAAAAGGTAGAAGTGGTCATTGGGCTCATTTGAAGTCGGGAAAGGGCCCCAGTGTTCGGGCGTCTTCAGATGGTGATGTTTATATTTTGGTCGCTTTGAGAGCAGTGTATATGTAAATCTGTGGTTTGAGGTTATTTAGAGATTTTGTCTTTTTCAACTGGGAGGACTCAAAGTGCTGAGTCAGCTGGACAACGGTGCCCCTGGAGTTGTTGTGTTCTTGCTCAGGGGCAAAGATAGTTGACAAAGCAAAGTCTGTAACTTTATTCTGCTTAACAAGTTTAGTGATTCTACA